ATTATTTATCTCCTAATCTACATTTGTACGTCAGAAAGTACAACCTATTTTTAAGTTTTTAGGTTGGTAGTAAGTGCGATAAAGTTTGACAATAGACGTTAGGCAACATTTCATAGATATATAAATAACTACTAGCAACATTTAAAACGTGAGTGGCGTGTTGTGCAAACAGGTGCATTTTAGGTTATGTGATATATTTTACGTTTTCTTGTAAATCTACTAAAATTAGAAGTTTTATGATTTGCTATTGGTAAGTACATGTTTCAACGTTGGAGTTCCATAATAATTTATATTGCTTTATATAATACAAAGTCCACAGATGTAGTTTGAATTAGTATGTACATTACCATGTACAAACGCAGTTTGTGGACAATATATTATTAGACCATGTTTTTGCAAAAGTTATAAATTTTATTTCTATTTGGTATTAGTAGTGTCGGTATGGTGGAGACGCGAGACAATAAATTGTTGAGGGAGGGGCACCCCTAAAAATTGACTAAATGTAGTTTTCAAATTTTTAATTTTTTTGTTTTATATGGATATTTACTAATGTTTGTCCTTCATGCGTTTGTTTTTGTTTTTTTAGATAATGGCAAACGCAAGAAAAAATTCAAAAAGAAAGCTAACCCAAGAAGAACTTCTTTATTATCTCGAGAACGATGATGTTTCAGATATTGAGTACCTGTCAGATGATGATGATGGTTGGGAGTCAGACGAAATATCTAGAGAACAAAGAAATAATGACATTCTAGATGTAACTATAGATAAAAATAATGGAAAGGAAAATGAGCCTGAAAACAGCGACGTTGAAGATGTAGATTTGGCAGATGAAGAAGAAAGGTTGGTGCTAACTGTAAGTGGTGAAAATATGGGGGAAAATGACAAAGATGAGATGAAAAGGAACCAAACAAATTTTGAGAAAGAACATGGTCTTACTGACAAATCAAAAATAAATTGGATACAAGGGGAAAATGTACAATACGAAACAAGAAATATTCATTGGCATTCAACCGTTCCGACTACCCCTGTTGTAGATTTGCCACCACCAGTTGAATTTTTTACCAAATATGTTCCTGATGAGATACTACAACAAATGGCTGATATGACAAATTTATATGCTACACAAAAAAATATTGCTCGATTTCCACCTACAAACTTGGATGAAATCAAGACTTTTATTGGGGTCCATATTGTTATGGGAAACTTACAGTTTCCTAGAGTCTGCATGTATTGGCACCGTAGTATAGGAATACCATTAGTAAAAGATTCCCTAAGTCTGTCTAGATTCTACAAGTTGCGACAGACAATACATTTGGTCGATATTTTGAGTCGCAATGAAGACAACAAAGATAGGTAGGTATTTAGATAACAAATTTTGGTATTTTTTTTATATATAATAATTTATTAACAATCAGAATTTCATATTCTCAAAGTTAATTTGATAACAAGCACAATAACAAAAACTATAATATTGTACCCTAATATGGCGTTATGAGGTACATGACCCAGCGATTTCACCTCAGTTTCAGCGAAGATCTATGGGCCATAATCTTCGCAATCTTCTGTTGTTTATTGGCTGCAGTATGTAAATACCACGGGGCATTTGGTATGGTGCGTAGAATTTTTGATTGCGTTATTTGGATTATTTTTGTATTTGATTTGCTGGCACAACTCCATAGTTCGATTCCATATGTCCATATAGGTCTGATGACTGTTTTATAAATTAGCAGTTTGTTCTCAATAGAGAGTTGAGATTTTCTACCAATAAGCCAATTAATTTATTTCACTCTCAACTCAATTTGTTTTTTCTTCTTCAAAATTTGCTTCAACTTGCTTTATTTATATTGCTTTGTTACAGATTGTGGAAAGTCAGATGTCTGTACGAGTCAGTAAGAAAAAGATGCCAGCAGCTACCACTAGAAACTAACTTGTGTGTCGATGAGCAAATAGTCCCATTCAAGGGACAAATAAATATAAAACAATATATGAAAAACAAACCCAACAAATGGGGTATCAAAATCTACATCTTGGCTGGCCAGAGTGGACTGATATATGATTTCTTGATTTATCAAGGTTCAACAACGCCCATTAATCCCATTTACGTAAAATATGGATCGGCAGCTGCTGTAGTTATGCAACTTAGTGAAAGAATATCTGAGAAAAACCACGGCCTATTTTTTGACAATTTCTTTAGTACCTATAATTTGATCCAATATCTGGACTCCAAGTCTATATACTGTATAGGAACCATAAGAGTTAACCGGTTTGCCAATCCAAAGTTACCCAGCGATAAAGAAATGAAAACAAATGGGCGTGGTTTTGCTGCTACCGCAATTAGCAAGGACGGTATTGTCATCACAAAATGGTATGATAACAAGGCAGTACTGACAGCATCTAACTTCGTTGGAATTGGAGAGTTGGATGAATGTAAAAGATGGGACAAAACAAGAAAAGAATATGTGCAGATTCCCAGGCCTGAAGCTATAAGACGATACAACAGTAATATGGGCGGCGTCGACAAGTTGGACTTCTTACTAAGTCTATACCGATCCTATGTCAGATCAAAGAAATGGACTGTGAGAATGATCACTCATGCCATTGATTTAGCCCTGGTAAATTCATGGCTTGAGTATCGCACTCAAGCTATTCTTTTGGGAGTAAACAAGAGGGAAATTCTTGATTTGTTAGCTTTTCGCCAAGAAGTGGCCGAAAATCTAACCTGCAGTAGACATGCTCCTAAAAGAGGCAGGCCTTCAAAAAGCTTCGAGGATCCAGGTCCCTCCAAAAAGAAAAAAACTGAAATAAGGCCTCTAAAAGACCTTAGATTTGATGGATACCATCATCTTCCACAGTATGATGATAAAAAGGAAGCCTCAAGATGCAAAAATGAGGGGTGTAAGAGCAGGACACATATATTTTGTCAAACATGCAAAGTTCATTTATGTATTTTAAAGGAAAGGAATTGTTTTTCCACATTTCATACAAAGTAAATGTTATAATTTATATTACTTTTGACAATGATCTGATTTATAAGAGTTTCTAATAAAAAATTAACACTCAATGGTTTTTTTTATTTCCATGAACTTTGTTTGTACATTGTGATGGACATCCTGTACTGGAAGGGTGGGGGTAGTTAAATTCTTTTTATGTAAAAAAAAATAATCTATAGTGCAACAGTACTTTGTATGCCAAAAATTAGAATTTTGTAATCACTCTAAAGGGAAGTGATAGTGAAAGGGTTAATTAAAATTGTAATTTGATCCATCATTGCCGCTGCACCATATTTCAACAATTTATTTGGTATCCCATCTTTCTTCTTCTTCTTCTAGTTCCGTGACCGTTATCGATCGTTGGATATCATGTTGGCTACTATATTCGCTATCGCGACTTTATTGACAGCAGCTCTAATTAACGATGTAGTTGATTTTCCATACCATTGGCTTAGATTTTTCAGCCATGATGTTCTTCATCTACCAGGACCACAATTACCTTGGATCTTTCCCTGAATGATCAGATGTAAAAGATCATATTTTTCAGGGTGTCTCATAATGTGACCGAAATATTCCAGCTTGCGTTTTCTTATTATATTGACCAGTTGTGTTGTTTAGTTCAGCCGTCTAAGGACCTCCTCATTTCTAACTCTGTCGACCCAGCTTATTTTCAGTAGTCGTCTGTATACCCACATCTCAAAGGCTGTCAAGCGTTTAAGGATAGCCTCAGTTAGAATCCAGGCTTCCACTCCATACAGCAGGACAGGAAAAATGTAGCAAGATGTCATTCAAACTCTAAGGTCAATGCTAAGATCGTGACTACAAACTACGTTTCTCATTTTTACAAAGGCAGCTCGGGATTGTTATTTTCGGCTTTTAATTTCTGCGGTTGGATCCCAGCTCTCATTGATATTACTGCCGAGATACATGAATTTCTCTACTCTGTCCAGTGTGGCATCTCCAATTAAAAAAAAATTTTAAATTGGAGATAAAATTTTTTTAAAAGTGTTTGTCCTTGTGTAGTATAGTGTGATGTACAATTTTTATGTTTATAACATTCTATTATTGTTGGATAGGCCAAATTTGACGAAATGTCCCTGATGATGCTCTAGGAAGTGAAAGTACTTGGCAAGATTTAATTAATAAAACTGTACTCGATAACTGTATTTTATTTGATCAAAATAATTTAGTTAACTATGGCATTATTTAAAAATTATTCTCAAGTAACTACAAGTATCTAATTTAATTTTAGTTCACAAGTAAATACATTACTGTTAGTCCGAGCATAGTGTAAAAAAATAAATTAGAATTATTAAACGTTGTCTCTTGTATTTAATTTTCACTGTAAACTATGTAATTCAGTTAAAGCTATCAGTATTCAATACCTTTAAAGCTTAATAAATACATAATACTAGTTCAGTTAAAAGATAAAGTATTTTTTATTGTAAATAATTGACATTTTAATAATTCGTTTAAAATTGTGCCATATTTTAATAAATTTAGAAAAACATTGCAAATATGCAAATTGCACTATTTTCGAGGACACCCTGTATAATACAGTGATGTGATTATTCTCTTTTTGATATTTATGCTGTCGTTTGAGTGGTAATTTAGATATCTTTTGGTGTAGATTTTAGTTACAATACACCAAACAGACGGTCGTCCAAAGTAGCAATAAAAGTGCCTAATTTGGGCTTAAACTACATGTTAAAAATGTAAAATAAATTGTCACTATCAAGAATAATTTAAATCAAAGGTTAAATTCACAAAGATTATGACTGCACAAACAATTTTTAAAATAACAGAAGTCCTTAATATTAAATAAACTAAAAGCGTGCTTAACATAGTCTGCAAAATCAACTATAAATATATTTACCTAAGTCATGTTGCACTAAAATCGATTTAAAATAGTGACATTAAAAATTTACAATAAGGGAAAATAAAATTTTAAGAATAAAATACTCAGCACAATATATGACAACAGCATACATGAATACAAACTATACTCACCTATAAATTAACTGTGTCTCTAGCCAAAATCCCAACGCACTCCCCCAACAGCAATGTTTTGCCAAATAATAACAAAGAATCATGTAAAACGGAGGCTCCTCGAATGCAGTCAAGTTCACAGTGTACTATAAATCCCACAAATCCATAAATCTCGAAATTTTACTTGGCATTCCTCGCTTTGGAATAGTTCCAGATCCGAGACAAAAGATTGTTGAGACAACTGGTCCATGTTCAGAGATAATAAACTTTTTGGAATAATTACAGTCTAAATATAAGTGTAACAGCGAGGGGATAGGGAATTCTAATATCGTGAGAAAATGAATGAAAAACGTAATATAGCTAGTGATAAAATATAAATTAGTAGCTTGTCAACCTAGTTACAATGAATTTCTTAATGTCGGATAGTGCTGCATCATCATTACATATTCAAAAGGAAAATGAAATTTTACAAAGTGATTCAAATGAAAAAGGAAAAGACAGTTAAGATTTTATTTAAAGTATAGTGCGTCTATGTAACCGCTTATACGTATTTCGGCCTAATAGGCCTCTTCAGAACGGCAATTCATAGTCGCTCTGAACGTGAAAATAAATCTCTTCTGTTTTAGGAAGCAACTCTAACATAGCTTAGAATGGACGTAAATAGCGACATCTGATATTAAAATTACTTTACAAGTAAATACTACTTTTTTATTTAAAATATGTTTACTATAATCATTTGTATACTTTAAAATATATCAGATCACATCCTAAGTAAGTAAAACGTATTGTTTGTTAGATTTAGCCATACGGCTCACACTCCCTCTAAGGGGAAAATTCACTCATCTCAGATACCTACGGTATCAAAAGGATTGAGCTCTGGTGGGACCCTTTCCGTGTAATCGAGCTCTAGGTGACTTGCTATGCTGGAGTATCTCCAAAAAATTTTCCTACACATCTGAACGTTGAGAGCATTACAGCTTTCTGCATGGTCTTGTAGAGATGTTCATTCAGACCTAGCGTTTTTATGTTTTCTAGGAGGTTCTTCGGAATAACTCCAGTAGTAGAGAAAATCGAGACAGGTATTGTGTGAGTACTTTCCATTCTCCACTGTCTTCGTATTTGAATTTCCAGATCCCTGTACTTGGCGATCTTTTCGTTCTGTTTAACACGAAGATTATTGTTGTTAGGTATTGCCACATCAATTAGTGTTGTTTGTTTCTTTAGTTTATTAACTAGTATGATATTTGATCTATTATGTGCCACTGTTTGGTCTGTGAGCACAGTGCGGTCCCAGTATAGCTTGTAGTTATCATTCTCAAGTATACTTTCAGGAGCGTATCGTAGACTAATTGTATACTTCATCTAATTTACATACCGATGCACGTCATCGGCGTCACAGCAAGTGACATCACATGATACCAACACGAAATATTTAGGCGGTAGGTATGTTCTTTTTTTAGAATCACTTTGCCGAGTACACTGGCATTACAGCCACTAGACATATTTTATTATATACGCGTAGAAATAATATTTAAAGATTTCTATTAATGTTAATGCAATACACAATAATATGTTTCATTTAATTTGTATAAATGAAACAATGATTTAAAATGGAGTCAGGATTTTTTATACTTTGGCAACTATGTCAACTTCGATCTCTGTCAATGATAATGACGTGCATCGGTAAGTAAATTAGATGAAGTATACAAAAGGAACATTTTTATTCTCGAGAGATGAAGAGAGAGAAAATATATATCTTCTGTCTCTCTCTTACTCATTATCTTACATATGTAATGGTTTCACAGATTCACTCCCATGCAAATTTCCAACGCCGACCGTGCGTATAGAAGTATAACTTCAAAAAACTATCTTCTGACTTTTATGTAATTCCACGAAATGTTAGATTTATTGATTTAAAATTCATTAGGGTAGAAAAAAACAAACCAAACATTTTATTCTACAAATACAGTTATGACGAAAATTATATGGAAACCGAAATAATTCGTGAAAGTAAAATGAAAAATGTTGACAATATTACATTACAAAACGCTTATTCCAAAAAACCTGCAATTTCCGATATAAAGAAAAAAGGATTATTAGACTTGATTGAGAAAAAAGTGCGTACCACTGTATTATTTAGACTTTTTTCAGAATTTGTAAAAACAGGCAATATTGGCACTGTGTGTATGTTCTATTGCATTGATTAAAAAAATGTTTTTTTATATCGCTATTACCGTAACACAGTATGTTTTATTTGTTTGCCTTTGTCTTAATAGGCAGGTGGTTATGTATCTTTTATTTTTATATTAGTGTATAGTGTTTCAGTTCCAAATTAATACTAACTCAAACTATGTTGTTCGAGAGACTTTTCAGTTTAAATTTAGGTTTGACCATTTATTATTTGTTAGATTTTGGCTAGAAAATTTAACTTTGTTTTCTGTTTTCTGGTGGAACAGAGTTACAAGTGGCTTTTCTGGCTTATTTCCATGTTTTTTAAGTGTTTCTGTACTTACCATTTTATGGAAACTTGTTAGATATTTTACTATTAAATAGCAGTATAAATTGTACGTAGTTTTATATTAATTATAGTCGGAACTCAATTTTAGTTACATTTACATATTTAGAAAAAATATATATTCAAGAGGGATACAACTACCTGTTTTTACAAAAACAATAGTGATAAATAAAATAGAATTATATCGTTTGAATCAGACCACTAAATGTTATAATCCCATAAAACAATAATAAGTGTAAAGTTCACAAATTTACAAATAAAAAATAATTTCTTTAGAAAAATTATCTTTAATCAGCTCTACTGAAAATGTATACTTTTTTTTGTTGTAACAGTCTTCTTCCGCATGCACGATATGTAGTTTCACACCAGTTAGCGTAAGAAATTGCTTAAAACAAATTTCACACTTAGGTATAAAGCCTTTTCTCTAGTGTGCAGATGTAATTTTTAATTTTGTCGCTGCACTGAACTGCTTAAAACAAATTTCACACTTGTATGGCTTCTCTCAAGTGTGTACTCTCATATGTTGTTTTATATTACATATCGCTGTCCCGGTGGAACAATGACGCAACTACAAAATTGTAACTTTTCTGAAGAGCCAAAAATATAAAATTATTTTACTTAATACCTCATACAATGAAGCATAATCATAGATAAACAATATATATTACCGGATAATGAGCATAATGAAGTTACTGGATTAGTATTGCAGTTATACTTAGACACCGTGATATACTGTAACTCTACTACACATTCGAAATTAATTCTTAATTTTTCATCCCTAAATTTGATCCCCAATTGCAATTACGTCATTGCTGCCACAAAATAACTGCGGCAACAATAACGTAATTGCAATTGGGGATCAAATTTAAGGATGAAAAATTAAGAATTTAGTTTTAGAAAGAAAAATTTAGAATTTAGTTTTAAAGATAAAATTTCCACAGACATAGGTACTCATTTTGTAAAATTTTTGGTTGCATAGCTGGTTTTAAAAGGTGGCATCGAAATAAGAACAAAAAGTCATTGAAAAAGTTTATTAAACAAATTGAAAATTGTAGTAAAAGCAAACATCTTTAATAAAAAGAAACTTAAAAATAAAATTAAAATTTTCAAAAAAAGTATCAACGAAAAATTGAATCTAAAAGGCTTTACAAAATCCAGGAATTATTTTTTGAAAGTAACTGTTTTAAATCTTTTAGTTTGTTATCACCTAAAGGAATTCTTCATCAACTTTCGTCCACGTTGGTTGTTTATAACTTTTTTTATATAGAAAGTTATATTTCCCTTTTAAAATTTGAAGTAATATTATTTCAGTTATTTTGAAGTCACGGCCTTCCTCGTCTTTGGTGAAATCTAGTCCCATTTCATTCTACATTGCTTTTACATCGTAAAACTCAGTAAAAACCATTTGATTAACGGTTAAAGAAGCTCCTGTTTTTTTAGCATTTCTTAATAATTCAACGTATTGCTCGGAAATGTATATGGGCCTTGATTTGGTTGTCCTATTCACTGCTTTTTCTATTATGCTGTAGACTGAATCACCTTCATTTTGGGTGTGACCGCGAACAAGGTACTTGTGAGTAATAGAATTGATGTCCAAAGTATTGACAGCAAATAGGTACATGGCTATTATAAAGTTATTTTTTTGTTGGCCTCCACAGTTATGGGAATAAAAAATCAGAATAACTCCTGGGCTGGTTATTGACAATTCTTTTAGATAGTAATAAACGCAAGATGCGATTTCTATTGTCTCTCTATTCCCCATCACGTCATTCCAAAAGTAACTTTATCAATTTCATAAGTGATATCTGTTTCGGAGACTTGGCATTTTTTCGCCTTAGCTTCTACTACTGTAAAGTTACAATAGTTTAAGCGAAATTTGTAAAAAAATGCAAAACTTTGTCCTATTGGTACAGGTAACACTGCTTGTAAATCATAAGTAGCCAGATGTATATTGTTATCAAAATTTTTTGTTTTAAGTTTATCGTTAGTTTTTTCTTTGCGACTTAGATCCTTTTCCCCTGAGTGAATTTCAATATTTGTTTGCATATTTTCTTATTTTTCTGCTCCGCCATTTTTAAAAGATTCCTATTGGTCACAAAGATCTTTCTTCAGGATAAAAACCCTATATTAAATTCGCTGTTGAAGCTGTCGGTAGCTCAACTCAAGTGGCTGAATACAAGAAGCCAAAAATCTCACTGACTTTGCAAGAACCCTAATGCCCAATATTATTTAAACTGTGTCTCTCTCAGCTCTTCAGATACCCTATTTGGACATTTCAAACGGTATTTGTCGGTACACACAGGTCCCATTTTTTTCGCAGCTACAGGTTTTCTTGTTCTAGAAGTATACCCCTGTCCAGAATTCTTTAGTACTTTCTTCTTTTCTTTCAACCAAGTATCTACTATCCTTTGTCTTTTTTCCTTCTTGACTAAGAGAGCATTACTAAGTGTTGGTGTTTGGGGATGCATATTTTACTTACATAAAATGCACTTATGTCAATGTTGCCTCAGAATAAGGAGAAATCCAGATGAAAAATAAGACAGAATACAGTTACGTCAATGTTTCCGCGTATATGTGGAAAAACCTTAGATCAACAATAACATAAAAATACAATAGCGTCAATGTAGCACCGTAGGTATAAGCACATACTCGACCTATCGAAGCATAACTATACACAATAACTCTGTCATTGTTTCTCCGAGATCTGCTGATTTTTCAAATATGAGGCATCTGCTCCCTGGTGGCTAAATTCTGAACAACACGTCTGACAGTGATCTGACGAATGGATTAACCAAGTTTGGATCCAATGAAGACACAAACTCATTTTCCATGAATTTGCAGTTACGTCAATGTTCCACCAGGACAGCGATATATCAGTAAACTGCTTAAAACAAATGTCACACTTGTACGGTTTTTCTCCAGTGTGTATTCTCATATGTATTTTCAACTTATATGTTTCAAAAAATTGCTTAAAACCCATTTCACACTTGTAACGTCTTTCTTCAGTATGTTTTTTGTCGTTTCAAACTTTGCGGCAAACTGAACTGCTTAAAACAAATTTCATACTTGAAAGCTGTTCCTGGAGTGTGCAATATCCTATGTTGTTTCATCTGAACTGCTTGAGTAAACTCCTTAAAACAAATTACGCACTTGTACGGTTTTTATCCAGTGTGCACTCGCAAATGCCTTTTTAAATTCTGCATTGTACTAAATTGCTTAAAACAAATTTCACACTTGTATGGCTTCTCTCCGGTGTGCACTCTCATATGTTGTTTTATATTACATATATCAGTAAAATGCTTAAAACAAATGTCACACTTGTACGGTTTTTCTCCAGTGTGTATTCTCATATGTATTTTCAACTTATATGCTTCAAAAAATCGCTTAAAACATATTTCACACTTGTAAGGTCTTTCTCCAGTATGTGTTTTTTTATGTCGTTTAAAACTTTGCGGTAACCTGAACTGTCTAAAACAGACTTCACACTTGAAAGCTGTTGCTGGAGTGTGCAATATCCTATGTTGTTTCACCTGAACTTCTTGAGTAAACTGCTTAAAACAAATTTCGCACTTGTACGGTTTTTCTCCAGTGTGCAGTCGCAAATGCCTTTTTAAATTCTGCATTGTACTAAATGGCTTAAAACAATTTTCACACTCGTATGGTTTCTCCCCAGTGTGCACCCTCATATGCTGTTTTATATTAGTTACTTCAGCAAACTGCTTAAAACAAATTTCACACTTATAAGGCTTTTCATCGGTATGTACTCTTAAATGAAATTTCAATCTTTCTGCTCTAGTAAACTGCTTAAAACACATTTCACATTTGTATGGCTTCTCTCTGGTGTGCACACTCATATGTTGTTTCATATTAGATTTATTAGCAAATTGCTTAAAACACATGTCACATTTGTATGGCTTCTCTCCAGTGTGTACGCTCAGATGTTGTTTCATATTAGATTTATTATTAAACTGCTTAAAACACATTTCACATTTGTAACGTTGTGCTCCAGTGCTATCCTTCGGATGTTTCCTTAAATTATTTTTGTCAGGGAAATCTTTAGGACAAATAGAATTGTTTAATGTTGTTACATCAGGGTTTACACTTATTTGTTGTTTTTTATTATATGTCTCTTCAGGAATCCTTTTCATAACTTCCATTTTCAGTAATTTCTTCTGGGAAAACTCTAAAATAAAAAATCAACTACAAAACTTTGGACGAAAACAACAGAATAAAACAAAAAATAATAAAAATATTTTGAGGCAATGTATGTAGTTATAAATAAAACTAAAATATAATGAAATTCTAGCTACTGACATTATAGTGGAAGCAAAGCTTTTAAGAAAAAGAAGAATCAAAATGATTTTAATACACCATTTTTCAAAGTTGCACGTCACAATTTATATAACGTGACGTCACTTATATTTATAATTTCCAGAACGTCAACCTTAGAATTCAAATTTTCGTAATACAGCTAATAATACGAAATCAAATCCAATGACGTATAATATATAGACTAAGCAGTCCCCGATTCTCGCTATATAATCAAGTGTCCGAAAGATCTACGCTCAAGGTTGAAGGTATGTTTACCAGAACAGCGGCGTGCTCATTTAAATGTTAATGACAATAATTATTTTTTTATTAAAATTAAATATTTATGATTTCTTTTTGTTCCCATCTATAAGAGAAATAATTATTTTGATAAAATAGTATGACATTTTACTAAAATAGTAAGTAAATAACTCTCAAGAATTTAAAATAAGATTTGCTTGTCACATAAAATTATGTAAACACACAAAATGGAGAAAATGTTTTCATACGTCCATGATGTTTTCAAACACAAGATCAACTTCGTGATGCTTCGTAAGAAATCATGAACTTCGTGCATCTTCGTATCAAAACAATAAACAATAACAAATTAATATTCATGTTGTGGACACTTTTTACAGCGTTCACCGGGTCTATATATTATTATACGTCATTGACCAAATCCATACGGAACTGCTAATACGGACTAATAATCAGAAAAATGTAATAATCTTATATTGGAAATTTTAGAATTATATTATATTATTTTTATATGAAAAATACTACATAATATTGCAAATAACAAAGTAAAAATATATATAGCATTTTTCATATAAAAATGCTTGCAAGTAATTCAAGATTTAAGTCCGTTTTACAGCTTGCAATTTTACCTGCAAGACGCAAGAAAGTTGCCCAAAGGCATGCGCAGTATGTCGTCAGCTGATTATTGCCTGCAACTTATTGCAGTTGCGCGATAATCGGTTTGGTGCCATTTTCTGTGCAAGTTTTCATGCAAGTCTAGGGGAATTTGTAGGAAGTTTGATTTTTTCACAATGTCAAATGTCATAATCACTGATTGACACGGAGACATGCCGATCAGCTGTTTCCTGTTTTGTTTATTTTTTCCTTTCCCACACATTTTTTGTATTTAGCTTGGCTTGATTTGTAGATTATCGGCTTTTTCTAATTTTAATATTTTTAATTAATACGTTAGAGTATCATCAAAAATTGAACTATCTTCTGCCCGAAGTACCAACAATGTCTTGCATAGTCTTGGCATTACGAAATTTACTATCTATCTATCTAAATCAATCTATCTATTGAAATTAATTCTAAATATATCATTCTAAATTCTAATCTAAATCTATCGAAATTAATTCTAAATCTATCTATCGAAATTAATTCAATCTATCTATCAAACTAAATCGACTAAAGTGTTTTAAATAAACAAGTAATTAAAAAAAATCATAAATAAGTTAGGTTAAGAGTAAAAATTTCAACATTAATTGCAAGCTGTAAAGTCGCACATAAAGACCCTGCAATAAATTGCATGAAAGTTAGTCATGCAAGAAGTTGCAGCAAGTTTTCTTACAAGCTGTAAAGCGGTCTTTACGACGTCAGAACCAAACAGCGTTGCCAAAATATCAGAATAGTTAGTAAGTTAGGAATTTTTAAAATGTCAACTATTTGTCAAACTATTATATTAACTCATGAATGTGTTGCTTGTGTGAGTCCATTTCAAACAGGTAAAAGAAATAATAAATAAAACTTACTCACAATCAGTTTAATTTAACTATCTAGATGACCGGTTTCGCTTTCTACAATATACAAAGCATCTTCAGGTCTGTCGATACAAAGTTAATTAAATGATGCTGGTACACTATTAATTAATGGTTGAAAGAACATAGTTCAAACTATCCTGTATTCCTGAATGGAGATTTTCAGTTTTTACTATTGTAATTGTTTGACACATAACGGGGAAGTTTTTTGAGGAGACAGATTTTCTCCAATGAAGTAGAAAATAGGTGTAGTATGATTGTTTGTTAAATGAAAGTGATGTTCTGTATTATTTAATTCTTTAAAAGTTATTTATATTTATTCAAGAGAAATATTTATGAAATGTGTGTTATTTATTGAAATTTGATTAAGGTGACAGTTATATGACAATGAATGAAATTAGATCTACAATTGTGTGGGTGTGCAAATTTCTTTAACTTGTAATTATCAAATTTCTTTGATAAAGTTCAATTAACCTACTGTTATATGGTAAATGATTGTAAAGTCAAGTATGTAAAATTATTAAAACTAAAACAATTAAGGACACTTAGGGACAAATAGAACACACTTAAAAAGGACAAAACAGGCATTAAATTTCAAAAGGGGGACTTAATTGCCCTACATCTCTGAATTGGAGACAAATTTGTCTGGCTACTTAGTTTTTAAAGTTTAATTTGAGTTACCTATTGTAGCAAAGAATTTTTGTGTTGTGCTAGTAAAAAAAACTAAACATGGTGAATAATTGTATTGTTCCGTTGTGTACAAATCATGGAAAAATTACAATAATGATTATGATAGTAAGTTGTCAGGAAGCAAACAATAATAGTATTTAACATTTGTTTCTGAAAATATGTGTAATAAATATTATGTAATTAGTTTATAACTATTTTATCTTAAACAACAAATAAATATACGTATATCTAGGAAAAATTGTACATCTTTTATAAATCCTTATTTTCCAGTAAATTTTAATTAGTAACGAAATAGCCCGCAAGAGGCGCTAAAGGATATGTATGTAAGGGGTGTCCATTCGAATTTGCCGCCAAAAGATGATTAGTACTGACCGCAGCCGCAAGGGGTCTTATTGAACGAAATTTATACATTGAGTTGCCTATCTATTTCTACTATTATATTATTTAACTATGGTGTAAGTGTTTTACGTTGAAAAAGGGTATATACCATCAAATACCATTTTTCAAAGTAAAACACTTGCACGTCACGATTTATACAAAGTGACGTCACTTGTATTTAAAATTTCCAGAACATCAACCTTAGAGTTCAAATTTGCCAGTTAATTTCAAACACAGCTAATAATACGAAACCCATACGGAACTTTTCGATCTTTCATAGGCGTCAACATGGTGTAATAATCAGAAAAATGTAATCATCATTATATTGGAAATTTTAGAATTATATTGATTAAATAACCAAAAATATTTGTTATTATTAATAATATAAATTTTATGAAATTACTCTTTAAGTCTAATATTCCACAAAATAATAATTTTAATTAAATATATTAGACAATTGTATGCAACTGATACGGAAATACTTAAAATTTTATTGACAGTTTAAGCGTGTGGCAACAGTGTATAAAGTGTTGCCGCTTTTTTAGAGTAGGAATTTTGTTTATGTTTTGATTTCTTACAAAATTTGATCATAATATAATATATATTAATAAATTGTATTTATAAATACATATTAAATTTAGATTAATAGCTTTAAAAACTAATTATTGTTGTGTATTATGATTGTGATATGCCAAAACAAATAAATAGTCTGTAGAAAGCTGATAAGCTTTCATATAAGATAGATTATTTTGAACAAGAAATAATTGCGAGACGTTTTTACTATTAAAGCCCTAAAAGAGGTAAGTTTAAAATTTAGAATATATAATTTTGTATTAAAATGTTTTCTTATGTAGTTTAATGTGTTGCAGTAGTCGTAAAACTAAGTGTATTTACTGTTAATATAATAGTTTGACAAATAGTTGACATTTAAAAAATTCCTCACTTACTAACTATTCTGATGTTTTGGCAACGCTGTAGGTTTCTGACGACGTAACTCTTGAATGACCTGTATGCTTTTTTTATATGAAAAATGCATACACCTAAATACTGTAATTTTACATATTAAATCTTAACATATATATCCCTTTCAACATCAAATTAGACATACCACAGTGACTTCTGGAATTTTCCTCCAATGTATTAAATTCGGTATTAAAATTGCCACTTTGGTTTGGTTCAACTTTCACATCTTCAACCTCCAGTTCCGTTTTTAATTGACTTGCATAATTATCATAATTACAAAAAGATAAGTCTGGAACCTCTTCTTTGATTTCAGATTTTACTTTTTCCATTTGACTGGAATTTATATATATTTAGTAAAGAAATAAAAACTCAGTATTTTTCTTAACATTAACACACTTTAAAAATAAGAGTATATTACCAAAGAATATAATAGACGCATATAATACAAACGCAAGAATATAGAGATTTTATTTTATGCCTCTATATTCTTTGAAAATACCAACAAAGACGCACATCGCACATTTTGTATTCTTTGAAAATACTTCGCCAATAGCTAACTTCACATCGTTTTCTTTTAATCTAACCTGATCTAACCTAACCATATTTTAAAGTGAGGTTATAAATTAATCAACATTTTTAAACATTAACAACATGGTCCGAAAAAAGATTGACAACAGACTTCGAGTTTTAATCGAAAATGGGGTTAAATTGGGCCACAGGACCTTATTTGCTATTGTGGGCGATAAAGGAAGAGATCAGGTAAGAACAAGATCTAGAAAAACAGCCAAACATTCTAATATTTATGTTTTAGGTAGTTATTTTACACCACATGTTAGCTAAAGCAGAAGTTAAAGCTAGACCTTCAGTGCTATGGTGCTACAAAAAAGAGTTGGGATTTAGCAGTCACAGAAAGAAGAGAATGAAACAAGTACAGCATAAGATACAAGCAGGAAAGTTGAACGTGAATGAAGATGATCCCTTTGAATTGTTTTTAGCTTCTACAAAGATAAGATTTTGTTATTATTCAGAGACGCATAAGATTCTTGGAAATACCTTTGGTATGTGTGTGTTACAAGATTTTGAAGCCTTAACTCCCAATTTATTGGCTAGAACTATCGAAACAGTTGAAGGAGGTGGTCTAGTAGTATTATTACTAAGATCTGTTAACTCTCTGAAACAACTGTACACTATGAGCATGGATGTCCACCAAAGATTCAGAACTGAAGCACACCAAGATGTAGTATGTAGGTTTAATGAAAGATTTTTATTATCTTTAGCTTCTTGTAAAAGATGTCTAGTAGTGGACGATCAGCTTACTGTTCTTCCTATTTCATCACATAACCTACATGTTGCACCTGTCGAAAATGTACAGGAAGTTGATGAAAGTACCACTGAGCTGAATGATTTGAAAGAACAGTTACGGGATACTCAGCCTGTAGGAAATTTGGTAAATCTTTGTAAGACATTGGATCAGGGCAAAGCTTTGCTTAAATTTATAGGTAAGTAAGCAACACATGTAAAGATAATAAAATGGATAGATTATTGTTTTAACACCTACATTTTTGTCATTTTTTGTAGTAAAAAATATCACTTTAAAGAAATTAGAAAATATTTGTGTAGGTTTAGTTTGTTGAGTTTATTTATATTCATATAGTTTGTTTCTATGGCTGTATTAATCATTAAGTGCATGGTGTAGACCTTTATATTATATAAAGGAATCAATATATATTTTTTCAGAATCCATCTCTGAGAAAACTTTGAGATCCACAGTATCACTTACAGCATCTAGAGGAAGAGGAAAATCAGCAGCTCTGGGTCTAGCAGTGTCAGCAGCAGTAGCTTTTGGATACTCTAACATATTTGTAACTAGTCCAAGCCCTGAGAATTTGAACACATTTTTTGACTTTGTATTCAAAGGTTTTGATGCCTTGGAGTATCAAGAACACATTGACTATGGACTTGTTCAGAGTACTAACCCTGAATTTAATAAGGCTATTGTAAGGGTAAATGTGTTTAGGGATCATAGGCAAACAATTCAGGTAATTTTTATTATAATGTAGTAATACTAAGGTCTCACATCATTGTTTTATCAACATAGATCCTTCTAAACAAATGAAATCTCATAGTAATTTATTTTAAGCTCTGTGAATATGTAAAAACTCATCATCATCATCATCCAGCCTCTATTTATCACGTCCACTGCTGGACATAGGCCTCCCTTAAACTCCTCCATTACTCACGATTTTGTGCTCTTTGTTGCCAATTTTTAGCGATACGCCTGATGTCGGCCCAACGTGTAGGTGGTCTTCCTCTACTGCGTTTGTCTGCTATTGGCCTCCAATTTGTAATTTTGCTCATCCATTCTCGCTACATGGCCTGCCCAGTTCCATTTTAGTTCCGCTATGCGTTCCACAACATCAGTAATACTCGTCCTTCTTCGCAGATCTTCGTTTCTTATTTGGTCCCTCAACGTCACTCTCAGCATAGACCGTTCCATTCGTCTCGGTGCCACTCTCAGTTTCGAAGCCGTGGTCTTGGTTAAAGTCATAGTTTCCTCCCCATAGGTCATGACCGGTAATACGCATTGGTCAAACACTTTTCTTTTGAGGCTGATTGGTATGTTGGCCCTAAGTATGTCTCGCAGTTTTCCAAAGGCTGCCCATGTTAAAGTAATTCGTCTTTGGATCTCACATGTTTGGTTATCCCTGCTGATTCTTATTTCATGACCCAAATACGTATATTTCTCCACCAGTTCTACCACTTTGTCTTGAATAGTAAAATGGTTATTGGGGACCAAATTTGTCATAAACTTAGTTTTGGTCAAGTTCATTCTCAGGCCCACCTGCGAACATGCAAAATCCAATTCGTTTATCATATCTGTAGCTTCTCCTAAATTATCTGTGATAAGGACAATGTCATCTGTGAAACGGAGATGGTTAAGCTTTTCGCTGTCTATCGTTACTCCTCTGTGGTCCCAATTGATCATCTTAAAGGCATATTCTAATGCCGTTATGAATAATTTCGGCGACAATGTATCTCCTTGCCTTATTTCACGATTTATTTTTATTGGTCGGGTTTTATTGTCTATTTTAACAGTCATAGTGGCATTTTTGTAAATAATATAAATAAGCTCACTATACCTATGGTCAATCCTGCTGTCATTCATTGCTTCTATAAGACTGTCTAATTCGATCGTGTCGAACGCTTTATGAAAATCTATGAAAGTGAGCACAAGAGGGTTGTTATATTCTATAGATTTTTCAATGAGTGTTTTTACTGTGTGGAGGTGATCATTGGTACCATAATTTGAGCGGAATCCTGCCTGCTCTCTCGGTTGGTAGAAATCTAATTTTTTCTCCAATCTTGATGTCACTACCCTAGTGAAGAGCTTGTATATGTGGTTCAACAGGCTAATAGGTCTATAATTTTCTAGGTCCGTTCTATCTCCTTTTTTATGCAAAAGGATGGTTGTAGCATTGTTCCACTCTTTGGGTACCTCTCTTTGCTGCAAACATAGATTGAATAGTTTCCTTAATTTATTTAATAGCATATCTCCTCCATTTACGATAGCTTCTATTACGATTCCATCCTCTCCTGGGGCTTTGTTATTTTTCATTTTTCTTAATGCTTGTTGAATCTCATCTAGCTTTATCTCTGGCATTAGTTCGGAACCTTGATTCTTGATTTTCTTTGAAATGGCTGTTTGTATTCCTGTTTTATCTTCTCGTCTACTTCTATATAAGTCCTCGTAAAACTCTTCGACGACCTGTATTAACTCGTCTCTACGTGATATTATTTCATTTTGCTTCTTTCTTAATTTATTAATTTCGCATTTCCCATTCGTTAGCTTTCTACGTAGAACTTTTAGGCTGTTATTTTCCTCTATAGTGCGTTTAATATAATCGGTATTAAATTTCCTTAAATCTCTCCTAATTGCTTTCGAAACAGTTTTGTTCATTTTTCTTAAAGTGTTGCTATCTACATTCTTATCGCTTCTTATTTGTCTTCTTTGATCCAAGAGCGTTTCAGTATATGGACTTAAAAACTATGCTAATGCGATAATCGATTACAATTTTTTAAATTAAAAATAATTCAAGAAAGTAAAGAAATAGTTTTATAAAGAAAACAAGTGGTTTATTTAATAAAAGTGCTTTGGAAATATTTTCTTAACTACAATACCCTCAAAATTAATTGGTTTAAAAACCAATATTAACAATCAATAAAATATACTATTATAGTACCAGTATACCAGTTTAAGTAAGAAAACAAATTTATACAAAATTGTATAAATTAGTAACTATAACATTTTGGAATAATTTTTATAATTTATTATATGTTATTTAGTTGAACACGCTAGATTTTCAAGATATGTCTTTAACCCTTTTGATACTGTTGCCGTAAAAGTATAATTGTCATTTGCATCTTTGATGAGTGAGTGCAGTACTATTACAGAAATTAATCTCCATCATTCAGGTTCTATCACCATACGTTTTTAAGTATTTACACCTTTGAAGAGCTATAATCATAATAGTATGTTCTATATTGTCCATCTTGCTTACTAGTATCGTTCATGTACGTTATGATCCACAAATACACCATACTGATGCCATACATACATGGCAGCACAGCACCCACCCTAGCGCTGTACATTCTGAATACCATTTTTTTGAAATTTGACGAAAAAAATTCCACTACTTTGATAAAACAAATATAAATAATCTGTCAACAAACGATAAACGATTCAACCAGATTCAATATAAAGAATGTAAACTACTGAGTGGCCATCTTGATCGTGAAGAGCAAAATTTTCCCAGCACAGTATATGAGCAAAATGCAACTACTGATACTTGGCCCGTAGGAAAAGGTTGAAGCACTCTACAAATTGTCTGTACAACTGTACAACCTAAAGCACATTTGCATTATTTTTTCTTTTTAGTTCATATTCTATTATTTTTAACTAAAATGTGTGAATGTTTAAAATATTTATATATTTGGTATAATTTATTATAAATTGAACAGGAAATATGCTTTGTGTGCCTTCATAAATAAATAATACTGCAAACATTTGTTTTAAAAGATGTTTTACAGTGTATGAATGATGTATTTCAAGATGTTCAGGTTTCCGTTGTGTATTTACATTTTTAAAAGCTCTTGATTAATAAATAAAATTGTTTAGACACAGATTACATTCACATTACCTTAATTAAAGCAGTTAAAACATGTTTGAGAAAAAATTAATTGCATAAGCTTCCCTAATTTAAAAACTTTTTTAGTATATCCACCCAACTGACAGCCATAGATTATCTCAAGCAGAGCTATTAGTTATAGACGAAGCTGCAGCCATTCCGCTACCATATGTTAAAGCTATGTTGGGTCCATATTTAGTATTTCTAGCTTCTACTATAAATGGTTATGAAGGAACGGGTAGATCATTGTCTCTAAAGCTGTTGAACCAACTAAGAATTCAAGCTGCACCTATAGGAGCTAACACTAATGCAGTCAATAAGAAAGACTCCGGTGCTGCTACAGGAAGAACACTACATGAGGTAAGAAAACTCTTTTTGCTAAATAAATGTATTTTTATTTTTACAAATTTATTAAAAGTTTTGCTTTGTTTATACACGCTTGCTAAAGATATTAAATTTTTCATTTAAGTTTTGTAATAAATAATAGGTTACTTACTCAATCACGGATTTTTATATTTATGTTTATTATTTTCAAGTTAAACTTTTTTTAAAGGTAACTCTGAATGAATCAATTCGTTACAAACCTGGCGATGATGTAGAAACGTGGTTGGTAAAACTGTTGTGTTTGGATTCAACTTCTGTCTCGCCTATCTTATCCGGTTGTCCTCCTCCTGACAGTTGTGATTTATACTATATTAACAGAGACACTCTTTTCTGTTACCACAAAGCATCAGAAGAGTTCTTGCAAAGATTGGTAGCATTGTATGTTGCTTCACATTATAAGGTAAGTGTTAACCAGGATATTGATGGTTCATACATCATTCAATCATCACAGCTTTTTAGTGGAATAAGTTAATTTAATTGTAGCAATGAAACAGTTATGGGTTAAGTTCAAATATGTATGAGTAGGGATCATTTTCAATAATTTGATAATTTACTGTAAAAAATATGCAAATTTATCTAGAAGTGCAGAATTCAATTTTTCGGGGGGTGTAATTGTTGAAAATTTGTTGTATTTGTAAAATTTGTTTACCACCAATTTGCAGTCTATGCGGCGACTAGTTATGTGGAAGTCTATCCAATATATTTACAAATTGCTTCATCATGGATCAAAGTTCATTCCAGTGGCTCTATTGCATTTCTGGGAAATCAAAAGTGTAACAAACTCAGGATATTTGTCAACATTTCAGTTATAGCGATGAAAACTACTGAAAATTTATATGTTTTGTTGAATTTGGAAACAAAATGATGTTCATTGGGAGTCAGATGTCGAAAATAAGTGAAAATCTGCATATAAAATTACAAAAGAGTAGTTCAAATGTCAATAAATATTTGAAAAATAGTAAATAATAAAAGTAAGTTAAACGACTTGTGAAGAATTTCAATAAATTTTTAGAATACCCCCAATGATCTCCAAATGATGTCAGACGCACCAGCTCATCATCTCTTCTGTCTCCTAGGACCTGTAGATCCCAAGAGAAGGACATTACCAGAAGTATTAGTCATAATTCAAGTATGTCTCGAAGGTGAAATATCAAAGAGTTCTATCCTCGACGGGTTCTCAAGGGGCAAAAGAGCTGCAGGGGATTTGATTCCATGGACAATTGGTCAGCAGTATCAGGATGCCGATTTTCCTAAGCTAGCAGGAGCTAGGATAGTTCGGATTGCCACACATCCTGATTATCAAGGGGTAAGTAACTTATATTTAAAATATATACCAGTAACATAGTATTTGGTCAACATCAGTGTTTTTAATATGCATTATTTTTATTTATTCTTTTGCTATTAAGGCAGTAGTGTATGAAATGTAAGTGTAGCAAAATCAATGGGTTAAAGACAAAGGGAGGGCCATTGTATTATGCAAATGAACTCATAAGGAACCTACCAAATCATTTGTGATTCATGAGGGAAGGCTCAACGTACCAAAAAATAATATTACCCCTTACATTTACATTACAGTGTATCAAAACCTATTTGCCATAATAGTATATTAACACGCAATTGTAGGAATATTGCGTTAACAGCTTTTATGGAAGACCATGCTCTTTCCAAGATGGCAACTAATTACATCAGTTGTCAAAGAGTGTCATACGTCAAAATAACGAGAAAGTTGCTTTTAAAATTAGTTTTTTAAGTTCTTTATTTAGTGTTTATAAATACTGAAAGTTACAACTGCTCATAGAGTTATTTAAATATTTTTCTTTAACTATACAATTTGTTAATGTTATCTTAGATGGGCTATGGAGCAAGAGCTTTAGACATCCTCAAACAATATTACGAATTCAAAATTCCCAGTTTAGACGAAGATTCTCAACTGCCGAAACAAGAAATTGACAATGTTGAAGACTCTGAAGTTGGTCTATTAGAGGAGACTGTTGAGCCACGAAATTCACTGCCGCCATTGCTGTTTAAATTGAGTGAAAGACCTCCAGAGAAATTGGACTATCTCGGTGTATCTTTCGGACTGACAGAGCAGCTTATGAAGTTTTGGAAAAAAGCAGGGTAAGTTGTTTTTTGGAGTACTTGGTATACTATAACAATTTTCAATTGAAGGTGATTCATTGGCAACAATGCACTTAAAGCGACAAATTGATATTCTCCTTATTAACTTTGTAGATTCGTACCAAAATAATATTTTAGTTATTTATTATTTATTTAAACACGTAAGTAATTACGTAAAAATTAAATCAGATATAATTATTAAATTATCATGTGTGTTTGATTGGCATCTTATTGTTGTCTAATAATAAAGTAGCAAAGAACAATGTTACTTTCAAATTCAATTATGTAAAAAATCTGCTTAATAGTGCCTTAAGCAATATGATCTTACATGGCGTGAATAAAATGTATCGAGCATCTAGTGAAAGAAGAGCAGAATATGTGGAATCTTGATAACTTCATTGAAATTACCATGGGACTAGTAGTTGTGTATCTAGCTGAAGATACTACTGATGAATCTAAAGATGACATAGGTGGCTCAGATTAGATTATGTATGTTAGTTTTTATTTGAATGTTTATTATATATTATGGAAATAAATATTCAGTTACGGTGACCAATTTATTACTAGTACTGTTTCATACCAAGAATTGTTTAAGTATTTAAGTTTCAGTTTTACCTGGGCTAAAAGTTACTAGACAACCCTTTTTCTAATCCCATGTCATTAAATCTCATTTGACAATAAGAATTAAATTTAATTCTTGAATCAGTCATTAATTTAAACGGATAAAGAGCTTTTTCCAAGAAATATATTTAACAAGGACTAGGTTTCTTCATCTAAGGCATTTATAAAATAAGAAAATAATTTTTATGACAATTAATTCCTTCTAAAATCCTGATTATTTTTTTAATAAAAACCGCACGCCTTTGACTTTTCGATTTCCTTTCCCCTTAAACCCGCAAAGGTCTACATTGAAAATATTTGAAAATGGTGTATAGTGACTTTTACTTGTATTCAATACTTTGTAGTACTTCGTTAATGACTCCTACTACCAGACCTATCTAAAAGTCTTTTGTTGCTCTCTCTCTCTTCAATGTTTCTAGTTCTATCTTACTCGTTAATATTCTAAATACCTTAAAGTATTGCCAATATTGTATATCCTACAATAATGTTCTTCAATAATTTCTTTTAGATATGTTCCTGTCTACCTTCGACAGACTACAAATGATTTGACAGGAGAACATTCGTGTATAATGTTGAACGTTTTAAATACTGATGAAGTTAAGGAGACTGATTGGCTAGCCGCTTATTGGACAGACTTCAGGAGGAGATTCGTCAACCTATTGGCATATCAGTTCTGTAAATTTTCCCCAAGTTTGTCTTTAGGAGTGCTGTCAAATAGAGCAGTCAAATTAAAAACTAAAGGTAAGTGTTATATTTTATGCAAGCTAAGAACACTAAATTTTTTCTATGTTATGTTATTTATGATTTAAACATTTAATACTTGCTTCTAGAGTTAACCAAGACTGAATTGGATATTCACTTCATGAAGTACGACCTCAAACGTTTGGAGATGTACAGCAATAATTTGGTTGATTATCATCTCATCATGGACTTGATGCCCACTCTGGCCAGACTTTATTTCCTAAACCAGTTGGGCAGTATACAAATGTCAGCTGTTCAGTCGGTAAAATACATTATATAAAAAAATTAATAATATGAATAGGTATTTTGACAACAACTTCTTGAAAAAGCTTTTTTTTTCATAATTCTTGTTTCGGATTCTAAGAAAAGTACAAAAAAAATCTTAAAAAGATGGAACAGATTAAGGGGACAGTCTCATGTGATTAAAAAAAAAGACACATGTTAAAATAAAAACAGAAAAAAAAACTATAATATTTATTAACATAATTCCTTTTGGAGATGATTAAGTAAGTCTTGAAGTACATAAAAAAATTTTAATAGCGATTTTAACTTCATTGGTGTCCTGTAGATGGCGTGTAGTAAAAAGTGCGTTTTTGGTGGTAAGACACTTTGTGAGTCACCTGTAACAGATATTCAAAAAATTCAAAATGGGTTGTATTCATGAGACTCAAAACTAGATGATAAACCTTTAAAATATGCAAATTGTATTATTTTGAAGAGTTTATACGAATTTTTTCAAAAAAGTCGAAAAATCGCTATATTTTTCGGTGGATTTACCCATATATAATAAAAGGGGGGGGGGTGGTTTTTAAATATTTTAAAGGTTTATCATCTAGTATTTTGTATGTACATTCGAAAAATTTTTGGTTTTTTAAAATCGGTTAAGAAGGTTCGGAGAAAAGTGTCTGACCAGTTTGAAAATGTTACTTTTGAGAAAAAATCATTTAAAGTTTTTTTTTTACATAATTTTCGTGAATAAAAGGCTGATAACTTTATACTCACGTTTAATTGGCCATTCCTGGTGAATATTGAGGACCCTCTTCATCCAACAGTTGTTGTAAATGGCTTTGTAAAGCTGTAAATTTCAATACAACGTCGCGATGTTTTATAATTAATATTTGTTCATTTTCGACTGGAGTCTCAATTCACGCCGCGATGCTGCCAGTGTAAGTGTAAAAACGGAACACACCTAGATCGCATGTCAATTCAACGAAAACGTACTTATTTATAAATGTAGATATGAAAATATTTTATAACTAAAAAAATGGTTATGTTTTATTGCCAAAACGGCTTGAAAAAAAAGTTGATTTCTAAAATAAAAAATAAAAAGGAATTTTAAAAATAAAATAATTATATTACACTCTTTTTAATTTGAAATTATAAACAATATTTGGAATAATAAATGTATTTAAATATAAATTTCATAACTCAAATAATACCCAATGAACACAAACAAAATTGATGTTAATAAAACATTTATTATCTGCACAAAACCGGACTTTCAGGAAAAATCGGTAGACGGAGCAACACTGTCGGCGTGCCATATACGCTACTATCGGCGTGCCATATACGCTACTATGAACCGCTAAGGAGAAGTAATCCAGTGGAACAAATAAATTTACACTGGTTAATTGCAACGCAGAGAATCTTAGTATTTGTAAAAAAATTCTATGTTCCGGATCTAAAATTCCAAATCCAAATGTGTATAGTAAACGCCAAACGTTTATACAGATATACATATATATATATATATATATAATAGCACTACGAGCCTAGTAGGCCCATGGCTTGAGCTGTTATTGTTTTCCATTTCTTCCTATTATTAGCCTTGTCCTTCCATCTTTCTATTCCCAGTGTTTCTAGGTCTTTCTCTACTTCTTGCTTCCATCTACTTCTCGGCCTTCCTCTTCTTTTTTTTGTACCCATTGTATGCATCAGAATCATTTTTGGTACTCGAGAATTTGTCATTCTTTCTATGTGCCCTAGCCACCTGAGTCTCTGAGCCTTTACTACTCCCACTATACTAGGATTCTTGTACATATCTTCTAATTCTTTATTTGTTCTTCTTTTCCATGTATTGTCTACTATCTTGCCTCCAAATATCTTTCTCAAAACCTTTCTTTCCCATATTTCGAGCATACCTGTTTCGCCTTTGTTCAGTGTCCACACTTCACTGGCGTAGGTTACCACTGGTTGTATAACTGTTTTGTAAATCCTTATTTTGGCATTCCTAGATATCTGTTTACTTTTTAATAGCCTGTTTAAGGAGTATACGCATCGGTTTCCTGCCATTATTCTTGATTGGAGCTCCTCTCTAATATTTGGTTTGCATGTGAACATCGACCCCAGGTATGTAAATCTTTCCACTGCTTCAAATATATATGCTTTTTCACCCTCTACTTCTATTTTTAGATTTCCTCCTTTTTGTTCACTGTCATCTATCCATTCCATGTATTTTGTCTTACTTTCGTTGATGGTTAAGCCTATTTTCTTTGCCTCTCTATCTAGCCTCTTTACTACTTCTTGTAGCTCCCATTTGCTTCGAGCCAGTATTACTACATCGTCTGCAAAGGCTAGACATTGGTGCTTTCTTTGGTATAACAATCCCTCTCTGTTGACATTTGCATCTCGTATGACCTTCTCCAAACACAAGCTGAATAGTATCGATGATAGGGGATCTCCTTGCCTTACTCCTTCACTGACTTCAAATTTTTCCGACATTATATTATTTATTTTAACTCTGCTCTCAGTCTTGGACAACGTTATTTGTATCATTCTTATAAGTTTTCTACTGATACCCAATTCTTCTAGTGCTTTGCTCATTTGGTTCCGTTTTATTCTATCGTACGCTTGTTTGAAATCAATGAAGAGGACCCTTGTCGGCAGATTGTGTTGATAACTTTCCGCTTGCAATTCTCTGAGCGTAAATATCTGATCTATTGTACTTCTACCAGGTCTGAAGCCACATTGGTACTCGCCGACAATGTTTTCTATCACTCCTGCCAATTTGTCCTTTATACACGCTGCAAGAATTTTGTATGCAGTATTCAATAGTGATATCCCTCTGTAATTTTGACAATCTGTCCTATCGCCTTTCTTATAAAGTGGGCATATAATTGCATCTGTCCATTCTTGTGGTAGTTGTTCTTTAATCCAAATCTCCTTTATTAATTTGAACATTTGCTCCTCTAGCGTTTTCCCTCCATATTTGAACATCTCTGCAGTTATATTATCACTTCCTGGACTCTTGTTATTTTTTAATTTCTTTATTATTTCCTTTATCTCGTTTCTGGTAGGGGGTGTTTCTTCTGTCTCATTTATTTGGTTCCTATGTTTCTCCGTTCTTATAGGCTGTTGCTGTTCTATCCTGTTTTCGTCATTTAGCAATTCATCGAAGTATTCTTTCCATCTAGCGGCTATTTCATTTTCTCCACTAATGGCGTTTCCCTCTTTATCTTTGTAAAATATTGTTTTTTGTTGGTATCCTCTTTTTTCATTTTTTACTCCCTGGTATAAATTTCTAATTTCTCTATTTTTGTAATTTTCTTCTATTTCTTTCAGCTGATTTTCCATGTACTTTCTCTTTTTCATTCTCAAAACTTTTTTTACGATTTTTCTTTGTTTTTCATATCTGTTTCTTGTTTCTTCCGTATCACTTTTGATCATATCCATCCTTAGTTTACTTCTTTCTTCAATTTCCTTCTGGCATTCTTCGTCAAACCAATCCTTTTTCTTTTTAGTTATATATTTATTGCATTCTTTAGCTGTGTTACTGATAATCTGCTGAATTTTGTCCCAGTCCTTGTCTATGTGCCCTTCTAGGTGTATTTCATTTAATTTTCTATCGATACCTTTTCTATACATTTCTTGTTCTTCTTGCGTTACAAGCCGCACTGGTTTATTTGTGTTCTTATTTTTTCTTTTGCGATTTTTTTCTTCCGGTATCAGTTGAGCCATTTTAATTCCTAACATGAAGTGATCCGAGTCAGCGTCTGGTCCTCTGTATGTTCGCACGTTCTTTATACATTTTCGGTCTTCTCTCTCTATTAGTACATGGTCAATTTGATTTAATGTTTTTCCATCTGGGGATCGCCATGTTGCTTTGTAGATGCTTTTTCTCTCGAAATATGTACTCATTATTAGCATATTTTTTTCTTTGGCAAAATCTATCAAAAACTGCCCGTTCTCATTAGTTTCTTCGTGTTTGCTAAATTTTCCTATAGTTGTTCTATATATTTCTTCTTTTCCTATCTTTGCATTTGCGTCCCCCAGTACTACTTTAATGTCATATCTTGGAATACTTTCAAATACCCTATTAACTTCACAGTAGAAATCCTCTTTTACTTCAATATCTTTTTCTTCTGACGGTGAGTGAATGTTAATGAATGTGATTTTTTGATATTTTCCTCTTATTCTTAGACAACATAGACGATCAGATATTGGTTTAAACTCTACAATTGATGCTTTTAACGCTTTATTTACCAAAAATCCTGTGCCTAATATTCTGTTTCTGCCTCCACTATTAAAAAATAAGCTATTTTCAATTTCCAGCATTTCCTGACCCAGTTGCTTTGTTTCTTGTAGTGCCACTACGTCAAATTTAAACTTTTCAATTTCTTTAGTTAAGTGTTTCAGTTTTCCTTCCTCAAAAGTACCCCTTACGTTCCACGTTCCTACCATTAAGTGATCTTTTGGATATGTGTTTCTATTGTCTTTTTTTGTATTTTTTATCTTTAAATCACCCTTTCCTATGACAATGTTACCGGTATTCATGTCCTTGTTCCTTGCGTTGTTCGTCTTCGTATTTTTACTATCATAGCCGTTTTCTAGTTTTTTGAGTTTGTTATTTCCATTTTATCTTCCTTGCTATTCCACTTCCATTCAACACCATTTATCATCATTTTCCTTGCTCCTATTTTGACTTCGTTTCCTTTGTTTCTTTCCTCTTGTGCAATTTTTCTTATTATTTTTTGAATTTCTCTCTCTCTCACCGTTGTGTCATCGTTGATGTATACCTTTTCCTTTTTGACGTCCTTTAACTTTGCTTTATTCTTCATAACTTTTATCTTTTCTTGTTGGTTCTCCATTTCAATTAGGCACGTTTTTGGACCTAGTTTGTGGGCCGTCTTTATTTTGGCCTCTACTGCAAGGTGATCTTTTATAAAATTGCCAATTGCTTTCTTCAATACCAGCTGATCCTGCGTATCAATTGCTAGCCCGTTCATTACCACATTATTTCGCCTTCTCTGTTTTTCTATAATTTCTATGTTGTCTCGTATTTCCCTTAATTCTTTCTTAATCTGTATGTTTTCCTCTTTTAGAATTTTATTATCATTCTTTAGTTCCTTGTTTTCCCTTATTAGATGTTCAACTACCTCCTTGTATTCCTTTTGGTCTTCTTTTATTTGTCTAATGTCGCTGGTTAGGTTGCTCATCATTTCTAGCAATTTATCAAGTTTTGCTCCATCCTCTTTTCCTCCTGTCTTCTGAGGGGTTCTTGTTAGTTTTTTATTTTTTCTGGATCTCTCTTCCTCTTGCTCATCATCCTCTCCTCTATTCTTTCTTTTTGCTCCTTCATCTGTTGTTGTATCGTCACTGTCCATATACGTTTTACCTTGTAGATATTTTTCCATCCTTGTATGCTTTTCCTTTTTTTTTTTTTTTCACTTCGCGGATTACTTTCAACTCTGATTGGCGCCAGACACTATCTCTCGCTTCAACAGCTCGGAAGAAACAGTATCTACCACTTCCTGTTGAATCCCCTATTCGAAGTCTCGACTAATTTTGTATTCCGTGGCAAACACGAAACTTTGCACACATTGGCAACGTCGCAATTCAATTAAACGTAGCTTCCTTCCCAGTGTTAGTTCTTATCAGTTAACCTCGCTTTTTTCCCTTATCCGATTATTCACTTTGTTATTGTTTTTTTGCAGTTTTCGGTGTTTATTTTTGCACAGTTGTTACCTTATTCAGTTATCTCAATTCTCACTACAACGTATTGAATTATTTCCCGTTGCAACTCTCGAATTTCGGGTTTATCGCAGACAGAAAATAAAACAAAAATCTTCAACTTCGCGCCACGTTGCCGAATCTCACAGATATACATACTATATAAAAATTAATCACTAATACATACCCAACGTATATACAACATATATACAAAAGCAAGAACAGCTGGAGCCTCGCGCTCGCCGCGCGGAGAGATGACCGGTTTTTATACGTGGGTAGATGACGTTAATAAAATAACTATAACTTATATTCTAGTGGGAATTTTTTTTTTAAATTTTAGGAGGGAGTTTTTGAATGTATATGGAAGCGATTTATATATAAAAAAAATAAAATTGATTTTTTGAAAGTTTCGCATGAGACTGTCCCCTTAATAGAAAGATCGGAAATTACAAATCAAACTGTTCTCTTGTCCCAAGAGATTTACCTTTTTTGCATTCTTTTTTTGTAGTTGCCCCAATCCGACCCCAGCTCTTCTAACAAACCCTGAGTGCCGTTCGCATATGTTTCGATTATTTTGCTTGCCTATCTCCACCCCCAATAACTTTTGTCCCCTATTTTCTACCCCCATGTGGTAGGCAAAATATCTTCGTTACAATTTGGCGCCCCACGTTAGGCGCCCATGTCTTCTTAATTCTCTCCTTGCGTTTATTTTCCAGTACTTTTTTCTTTATTTTCCCTTATACTTTTCATTCTCATCCCTTTTTTGTTCATTTTCCTCATTTTTTCGTTTTCATGCTCTTGTCATTTCTGTCCACATTTACTTATGTAAACTTACTTTTATATAGGCGATATTACTTGGTCTTGGTCTCCAACACAAAACAGTGGACGACTTAGCGACAGAACTAGACCTACCCTCCACTCAACTCTTAGGACTATTCAACCGCTTAATCAGACGGCTCAGTCAGTATCTCAACGGTGCTTTGGAAGAAGATATCGAAAAGAAGCTTGCGCCAAGGAAAGATGCGGAAGATCTAAAAATGACACCGTTCCCACAGAGCGTTCAAGATGAACTGGAGCAAGCCGCCAAAGAATTGAAGAAGAAGCAGAAGAAAGAATTAGAGAAGTTAAAGAATGAGAACTTAGAACAGTATGCCATTAAAGGGGAAGAAGGCGAATGGTCGAAGGTGCTGACAGGGAAAGCGAAGAAGTCTATCGTTACTGTTAAAAGGTAAGTGTCTTCTTTATTTAACCATAATTAACTTCCATAACAAAATATAGTATTGTAAATACACTACAATCTAAAAATCAAATTATATATTATTTATTTGCCGTTTTGGTGTCCACATAAGAAATCATTTTCAAAATATTATTCAATTCTTAAAATTTAAATAACCACAGTCAAATTTAAATCGAGTGGTGGAACATTCTAAAAAATTATTCATAAGGAAGACAAAAGAAACGTATAACACTAATAGCAGAAACTTTCCAAAAAATACTGAAGTTTTAACTCAAATTATTAAAAATAACAGGAGGTGGACAGGAATAAGGAAAGCTGAGCAACTCTTTAGAATAGCTCGAGACAGAGACAGTTTCGCCATGTTAATTGCCAACGTCAAGGGGACTTGATAGGGCACGTAAAGAAGAAGTAAAAATAACAGACGCAATGAAATAAACAATAAATAAATTTTTATTTAAGGTCCATTTCACAACAAAGATTCATATCATATCAAAACAAATCACAGAAATGGCCATGGAGTACAATAAACCAGCATGTCTGTGTTTAATAGACCTGTAATAATAGTATAAAAGAAACATACCAATCAATATTATACAAACCATCGAAAACTAACACAGTGTATACCTGTACAAAGCGGAGTCAGAAGGGTGACTCGTTAAGCTCACTTTTCTTTCATATACTAATGGACGAAATAATACAAGCAGTACGTAAAGGTTATGGTTACAGAATGTGGAACAAAGAAATCCAAATATTATGTTATGCAGACGACGCCGCATTAATCGTCGAGACAGAAGACGAGCTCCGAAGATTAACACATATCTTCAATACAACAGAAAAAAAAATTGAATAATATGATATCAGCAGAGAAAAACCAAATCAATAAAGCAGCAATTAGACCTATATTAACATAAGCGGCGGAGACAAGACCTCACACAAATTCTTCACATAAAAGTTTTCGCCAAACTGTGTATTCGTTTTTAATGGACAACACATTCTACAGTGTTGATGGATTTTTAAATTTTTAACATTTTTGCAACAATAGTTCTAAATTTGTATTTGTAACTTTTATTTCTTATTTATTTTATTGTAATAACTGTTTTATTTTAATCATATGTACTTTTGCTATATATTGTACTCTTTTGTACTAAAATTTTGACTAGTCTGATAAGATTTATACATTTTTTTCTTGTAAAAATGGTGTAAACTTTGTGGATGAATAAATTCTATCTATCTATCTATCTATCTATCTATCTATCTATCTATCTAAGTCTGTTGGATAGGGATAGAAGCGAAGACATAAGAGGAAAATTCAATATAGAAGACATAAATGGATGAGTGACAAAACGAGAACAGGAGTGGAACGAACACATCAGTAGAATGGCAGAGGATAGAATAGTACGAATATCACGAGATAAGTTACCAAATGGACGAAGAAGTATTGGCAGACTAAGAAAAAGATGGTGCGACAATTTAAACAATTTAGGAGGCTAATGTTGAAGAAGAAATAGTATAAACTCTTGTATGAATGATTCTGACAAACGTTATTAAGAGAAAATTCACAGTGTTTGGTTGTATATTATGTCTTAAGGATTGAAAGGAAGAAGGAAGACCATCAGACCTTAATCAGTTATTTACACGTGTAAAAAGCCACGTATAACTCATTTGTAAGAGCTGTAAGTGGTTTATCGTATTGTAAAATCATCTAGTAACCGGGAGAAATTTAGTATAAGCCTCGGGAAATCTCATTAGATAGTTTGCTGAATATTTTGGCTGAAGATTTACATAGGTTACAAAAGCTATATGTACACAATAAGTGTTGTATTCTCTAAGATTGCAAAAAAAGTCTAATTGAATACCTAAAAATGATTTTTCCTGCCTTTTTCATAGAGTAAAAATGCCATTATATATTTTCACATTAATGATACACCTTGTATACTATATTAACCAAATACATGTTTTAGTACATCTGATTTGCAAGAAGAATGAACCCTAGTTGTTAAGTAAAAAGGTAAATAAAGTGATAATTTATTTTTTATTTACTACTTTCTTTTTGTTTTAGCGGTGAAAAGCGACTACACGAGACAAACAATACGGAAGGCCAAGAAACAGAAGTTAAAGTGAAGAAGAAGAAATTTAAAAATAAGAACAAAAATAGAACGTTGTAAAAATATATTCTCGTTTTTAATTATTGGTATTAGTTCTGCCTTAATCTGTAAGTCATTTTTTGATATTTTCCCATTTCCTAAATATACACCAATACCTATTTGTATAACAAGGGAGCAAAGTGCTACTTTTCCCCCCGAGAATGAAGATTCCCGACGCGTAGCGGAGGGCAGTAATCATTCAAGGGAAGAAAAGCCACTTTACTACCATGTTATGATTTTCCACCTCCCTCAAATTTGTGCAGATCACCATCTCGTTCGATGGTTTGTACAGTAGCTGGATGAGTAGGAAAAAATAACTTACAAACCACTTAGATATTTTGGGATCTATGCTACTCTAAAAATTAGGAGTGGGAGTCAAGGGTCCCACAGGGACCGGCAAATTTTGAATATGGCGCACACTACCAATCGGGTACAACCTGTACAATCAGCAACCACTATTCGCCAAATCAGAGTATGCGCTCTAAAAAGTGCTCGTATTTCTGATCCAACGAATATGGATTCCCAGCTCTACCAACGAGGAGGTTTGTACTAGGATGATTTTATGGGGTAAGGATGAAACACGACGTTCACCAAACGCAAATAAAACTGAAGGTCGCTTAACAGGAGGTTTGGATAATTCGAGTCACACACTCTTCGGCCAGTCATTTTTACGTTTTTAAATAATTTATTTATATACCTAACTAACAAAATAATTATCTGATTGAGGTGGCTCCACTTTACTTTCAGTGCTTCTATTTTCATCCGAACTAGACATATTGCCAGAAAAATGTGATTATATTACTCTTAACTGCACAGAGTATCGAAGCTGGAAAATTACTGAAAATATTTCGCGACACGAGGCTTGTATTTTAAACCAAAACAGAGCACAAGGTCAAATACAGCATGACACACATTTTAAAGGGACTAAGTTAGTTTACTTTGGTCCTTTCTGTGCTAAACCATTATTTTCTCACTTCTTCTTCGTATTCAGACGTTGGCCGTCATCATGTTTACAATTTCCTGAAACCTTTCTCTGTCGGCTGCTGCGCGAAATAATTCTTCTACTGTGGAACACACAGTAGTAGAATACACTATTTTCTCACACAGAAATGCAATTAAGAAATAATCGAATTTAGTTTATTTCTGCACCAAACTGTAGGTTTTGGGTCAATAATTAATTTCGCATATTAAAAGAAAAATGGCCGAAAGAGCACCTCAGCCCTTTCAGAAATAATCGATTCACTTATTATCCCCCGAAAGTACTCATATTTTGCTGATTACAATCTACTTTCTTAACTTCAGTGACTCCCATAGTTTAGTCCGAAATTTTTCGCTTTTTCCAACATGGAGGTAGACTTTCAACCTCCACGTTGCTTTAAAGCAAGAATATCTGCTCCACAATTTGCAAGTAAACTTGCCGAGATTCTTCTACAATTATGGCCGGTATAATTTATGGCATTAGGTAGTTTTAAAAATTCTGCAATTTTTGTTGCAGTTGTTTGATACATTTTCCTGCTCTAATAGAAGACAAATAAACGTGACTGATTTATTTTAGGATGTAACCGTATAAACGTCAATATACTCAGGGCCATCCCCAGTGAATCATTTATTACAAATGGTAGTGACCATTTTAACGAGCTCGTCACACCTGCATGCTCCCGAAATTCCGAAAATGAGAACCTACAGAACAAAAAATATTTGACGCCGATGGAATTCGAACTTAGACCTACGTAATATTTAACAGTGAGTGGCGCATCAACTCGTTGAGCTACCAGGACTCATATGTCAACTTTGCTGAATTATGAATATAGCCCATTTCTAATATATGTCATTATTTTTTTAATATATTTAATCTTTGGAAATATCTTACCTTCATTAATAAATATCGTCGGGGCTTCTAGCAAAAATTTATTTACTTCCTTTCTGAAGAATGTTTATTGCCTTATTAGCTTTATGTCTCTGGTTTTGTCTTTTCAAGAAAGCAATTAATTTTGGGTATTTAATATTCACGTTTTCTTTAATTTAATGCATGGTACGTAGCATCGAATATTTGGACCACAATGTAGAGGCTTTTCTTCATCCCATTGCTTAAAATGTAAATACTGTTTTTCGTACTTTTTTTTTTAATTTTTGGGGTAATAAAGATTATCCTGTACACTAACTTCTTCCAAAATATATGATGGAATATTAGTATATTCAAATTCGCTTGAATCACTCATTTCTGAATATTATTTAGATATTTATGTGGAAACACTTTGAAACTACTAATCTCTCAATCGATCATAGCATGGCTATAAAATTCGAAAACCACATGAATTTATGAATTGAAGTCAAATTATTAAATCAAAATAACAATTATCCAAAGAATCAAGTGACTTTGTCAATATAAAGTTGTTGTTCTAAAATAACAAGACAATTTCCTTTATCAGCTTTGCTGAAAATAAGGTGATGATTTTTGATTGAATTTAAAGTGATGAGATGAGACTTATTTTTATTAGCGAACATATTGGTGAATGTTAAGAATGAAGATGTATTGTTAATAGAAGTAAAAGGTAAAGGAGACGCATTGTTACTGGATATATAAGAATTAGATTGAGAGGAAAGCTTGGTTTTGAATCTGTTAATTGTTGGAATGTAAGTTTCTTTTTAAAATTTTGTTTGTGAGAGAAATTAACAAATTTTGGATAACTGTATCTGTCTCAATTGAGAGACTCTTTAAATCTTTAATAAATAAATTAGTAGGAACCAAGTGTTTAAGACCAAGGTTTAGTAGTTTTAGTTCTCCTGCAAAAAATTTAACATTCAAGATCAGATCTAAACTTGTAGTTAATTAAATGTTGTAATTTGTTGTTAAGTCTACTGAATTTAATTGAATGAGAGTAATCAACCTTATCCTGAACATCTAACATGAAAGTGATGACATTAATATAAACTAAAGTTTCGAGTAGAGAGTCATACGTTACCTTCAGCTTACAGTTGATATAGTTTAGCTGAATGTAGTGGTTACAAATCTCTTTCTTTAGATGTTTAACCTGGATAGAAGTTTTGATGTTTAAGGTACATTTTTAAAAGTTTGGATTCTACATAATGTTGATCTAAACATTTAGAGATGAACCATATATCCAATTTAACATTGCTTTGTTGTGTGGCTAGTCTTCTTCAAGTGCCATCACCGCGGCGGAGGTCGGCAATCATCATAGTTATTCGGACTTTTGAGACGGATGCTCTGAAAAGTTCATTTATTGATATACATCCTTACCACTCTCTCAGGTTGCGCCGCCATGACATTCTACGCCTCCCTATGCTTCCCTTTCCTGGATCTTTCCCTGCATAATCAGTTGGTGTATTTCTCTCCACGTGTAATATGTCCGAGATATTCCAATTTTCTTGTTTTAATTGCATTTCACATTTCTATTTCTTGTGAAGTGTTCTGTTCACGATATTTTCAAAATTCTTCTATACACCCACAGCCCGAATAATTCCAGTTTTTTCAATGATGCCGCATTGATGTCCCAGGTCATTTCCGATGACCTTAGAATGAAGGTCCAAGATTCCATTTCATAAAATAAAGTTGAAAAAACATAGCACCTCGCCAACCTAACTCTTAGTTCCAATTTTAAATCCGTTGTAGACTCTTCTTATTTTAAATGAAATGAGGTTGAATGCTCGAATAAATGAATTTTGAAAATAAGGCTATTATCGAGCACAAGTTAATTAAATCTAGCCCAAGTACTTTCGCTTAAAATAGCATCTTCAGGGGCATTTCGTCAAAATAAGAACTATCCGGCAAGCGTAGGATGTGGAAACATTAAAACTAACATAAATTATACAAAACACTACACTAAAACGATTATCCCTCCAGAAACTGACAGAGAATGTAGCGTAGAAGTAATTTTAAACTGTTTGTCCTCGTTTTAGTGTAGTGTTTTGTATAATTTACGTTAGTTTTAATGTTTCCACATCCTACGCTTGCCGGATAGTTCTTATTTTGACGAAATGCCCCTGAAGATGCTATTTTAAGCGAAAGTACTTGGGCTAGATTTAATTAACTTGTGCTCGATAATAGCCTTATTTTCAAGTTCTTCTTATTTTGTTGAAATTTCCTCTAGCCTTTTCTATTCTGATTTTAATATCCTGAATGTAATCATCTGTCGAGTTAATCATTGTTCCCAGATATGCACACTTGTTCGACGTTGGTACCGGTTATTAGAAGATTCTCGTTATTTCTTTGAGTTTTCGACATTGTCATTTTCGTCTTCTAGACATTCATTGTTAGACCAGTCACCAGTCTCTGAAGATCTTCAATATTTTCGGCTAAGATCATAGTATCTTCCGCATATCTACTGTTGTTAATGGGATGTTTCACCTTCAAGAGCATTTTTAGGATCTCTTCTTAGTAGGCATTAAAAAGAATTGGCGACAATATGCATCCCTGTCTCACTGCACATCTAATTTAAATTTCTTCTGACAGCTGTTCTTTAACACGTACTTTTGCTCGCTGTTCATAGTATAAATTTGATATGGTCCTGGGGTCGCTGTACTCAATCTTCTTTGATTTCAGGACATTTATTAATTGTTTATGTCGTACTTTATCGAATGCTTTTTATAGTCTATAAAACATGCGTATATATCTTTATTGACGTCCAGTCATCTTTGTATCAGTATATTAAGTGAAAAAAGAGCTTCACACGTTCCTAGGCCTTTGTATGGATAGTAGAAAGTACTTCTTTGTTGCATGTTAAGTACGTTATTTTTTCTGTTCTATCTAATACCTCATTCTCTCTTGTAGAAAGTAATATAGAGCAATTCACCATAGTGGTAAACTATTTTTTAGTCACCTTCCACCACCCTAGTTTAAGTCTCTAAAATTTGTATCCTCCCATGTACAACGTATATGCATTGTATTTTACCCTTCTTTTCGTTTATTTTCAACTTTTATTTAATCCTGTTCCATTAAGACTTACAGGTTATTCTTTAGTGTCGTTGTGGCCGGTGTTCTTTAGACTAAGCAAAGTGTGTGCTTATCTTTTATTATTTACAA